CTCTTCTCTAATGTACCGGTTAACGTACTAGGAAAAAAAGTGCAAGATTGTATGCTCAACAAACATAGATTCTTCTTCTCGAATATCAAAAAAGTGGTCCTATTGGGTAATTCCATCAATCGACTCTTGTCATTACAAACATTTAATTTAACGACAACTTATGTTTATCAAGTTTACAATGCAATACTTACATTTTTGTCAACCTAGTTTTGACTCGATACTTCAGTAGTACGATTTTACAAATCTGATAGAGGATAACTACTCGTAGTCATTAAGAGTGACAGCTTCACATAATTTTTTGCTTGCTCATATGACTAGGAAGCTTTGGGATGAACGGAAAATCAGTTATGGAGATAACATGCAATTAATATGTTTTCTAAACTTTTGAACCAAAATATACTACTCTGGAAAAAATTTACACTCACGTGGGTGTGAAAGAAAAAGTGAGTTTGTGTGTAGAATCAGTCTTAGGATTCCCTCAACCGAATTAAATATAGTATGGCTTAGTTCTTTTGATTTTACGTTTTTAAACCACTGAATTAAAAAATTTGGTTTCACTGGCTTGTTTTTGTTTTATTATAAGTGTACTTAATTTTTGAGTATAGATTTTTTTTTAAATCCCATTTTTTACTTTTTTTATTGTGATCTTACGTTATTTTTATACAAAAAAAAATGTAATATCTTTAAAATTTAAAGTACACTTATTTCGTTACCACCAAAAATAAACAGGTGTGTATCTAATCTGATGGTGCATACAGTTGTGTCTTAATATTTTATGGAGCAATGTTTATTTTACATGGTTTGATTTTTTCATTTTTGTTTTCAGATTTTCATCACCATCGAAAAAGAATTTTTTTATTTCAGTGACCAATACTATTGAACATTTTTAAGTTTTATTATCAAATTCTAGGTCTATTTTAGTTTTATCTAACTATTTTTATTTAATATCTACTTAATTATTTTTTTAATATGCTACACATTTAACTACTTATTGCCATATTAAATCTCTTATGTCTACCAATAATATTTGTAATATTTATTTCTACTGCAAAAATCATTTTTAGTCCTAAAAGTAAATCTAAAGTGTTAGTCGATGTTATATCTATTGCATACGTGCAAGTATTTGAAAAATATTTAAGATAAACACAATTTACGAAGAATTCTCTTTATTACCAACATTTTAATTACACCATGAATAAATTAACATCTAACAAGATTATTTCTATACAAAATGAAGAAATTACTTTAAATAAGCTCTTACCTCTCAGCAGTAACGAAAACTCTTCCTCAAAATACTAGAAATGAAGATTGAAGTTAAATGAAGATAAACATATTTTTAATACCTGGAGAAAAATATAAACTCGATACATTCAAATGCTGGTTGAGAAATCAGAATGTTGCACTTGCCACTGACAGTAGTTATGTTTTAGGTTTTATTTTTATAAAATTACTTACTTTTTATAATCCAAAAAATAGTAATAACAAATAATCACATTAAGTAATATCATTTATTTCGTAAACTAATGTCTAAAATTTTGTAACTAGAAGAAACTCGTGTTAATAAATAAAAATGATAAAATTATAAATGATTCTATTTCACTCTCAAATAGAAGATATTTTGGTAAAATGTGGACATTACTTATTGACTTTCCAGAATACCTTTCGTAGATAAAGCTTTCAAATTTTTTCAATATCATTCCATACTCTCCCCTTGTATTTATCCCACTGAAATATTCATTTTTCTCTGCTGGTGCCTTGACTCACAAGCTTTAACGATTGTAGCATTCTTGCCTTTCTCAGAGAAGCAATTTTCCATTTACTCGTACAATACCATCTGCTACGTAAGTTTATCGTCAGTTCGTTTTTTATCTACTTAATTCCTTCCTCTACTTATTTCCTGCTTCACAGAAATTTTTTAGCCCTCTTTTATTCCATAACGGATGGAACGAGATCAGGTTATACAATTTATCCTTGACAGTAAGACGGTAGCATTATAACATGCATCATCTCAGGATATGCTAATTTTTCCCTATCTTAAATGTTGTTTTTTTTTCTCTACGAGTTTGAAGTACGTACCTCTGCAGACTTTAACTTTGATGATTTTTCTGCACCCCTTGAATTTACTACGTCAGCTAGAGTTTCTACGAGAGTGAATTGCTTTTTTAAATTATTATTAAGTGCAGTCATATTTATTCTAAAAAGTAAGAGAGGACTAACATTCATCATAATTTTTTTACATGGAAATAATTTTAAAAATGAAAGAAGAAAACTTGCACCACAGGTCTAATGATACAGTTGATTCATTGATCCTGGTTACTTTAAATTTAAATATACCAGACTTATAACGATTGACAAAGTGGAAAAAGTATTTTTGTTTTCAAAATAAAAATGTTTGTACACATAATAATATAATGAGTGCAGCTTAGCAGTAAAGTATAAACTGTAAAAGTGTTGATTAAAAAATATGCTATCAATGTCAAGCTAAAAATGAGCATATAATAAATAACAATACTAATAAACGTATGAAACTGGGTAAATATTTTTGAAGCTCGGATAATGTGTGTTGAGAGCTGCATAAAAATTTTACTCTCTTAGCCTTAGATTTTCGCATTCATGTGAAAAAATTCATAAACCAACTATAATAATGTCACATAGATCCATACCACACGTGTTAAGTGTGCCCAAGCAATTTTGAAACTACCTCTCATCTGATCCTCAACCGTACGAAGCAAGGCAATTTGTTTGCGCCAGCCAGCGATTCCCTCACGCGAGTATATCAAGAACAAAACAAGATGACAAATGTACAGTGTTTCTACACGTCTCTCTTTCACTTTTTCTTCTTTGTAAGCTTATATTCCCCCAAGCCCAGTGATACGTATGCTCAAAACGTTACAAGAATAGTAAAAGAAGAGTACCTTCCTTTTTTATTTTTTCTCTTTTATACCATAAGGGGGCGAAAAAAACGAACAACGAAGTGTTACACTTAAGAACTTTTTCTTGATGCCCCGTGAGAGATAGATAAGTGAAATAGACAATTTAAGTACTGTATAGACTACTTTAGCTCCGATACGTGAGTGAAGACTTTATTCAGCTGTTATGCGTAATTTATTTCCTTACTTTTATCTCCAATATCTGGAAGAAAAGTGTTAAGAAATATCGCGATTAGAAAGATTAAAGGCTTCTTTGAGGGAAGGGTGAGAAAATGACTCACAAGTTTGGTCGATTGATTGATTAGAGTAATTAAGGTCAGATCATTTGGGGTATTTGCTGGTCAGATAAAGTAATGATTAGAGTCTCTATCATTCAGCAAAAATCCTATTGTTGACAGTGGACTAAGTAGGTACTTCTATACATATGAGGATCCCTAAAACAGACGTCGAAAAATTATTGTTAAAGGACAATTAAAAACTTGTTCTTAAAAAAAAAAAAAAATACTTTCTTTAAAAATCTTATAATGGAGAGGCCAGTTATAAGGAAATTCTCGTTCTTTATTCAAACATAACTTGTCAATATTTCGCTGTTAATGACAGCCTGATTAAGACCAACCTATAAACACCAGGGAACATAAAAATTAATACAATCAAATAAAGATCCATTTTTTTAGATCCACAACTTTTTCATTGACCGAACTTCGTGATGTCACGAATATATTAACAGTCCTTCCTTAAGTTGGAGGGGGCACAATAAGTACGTTTTTTTTAATTAATTTCATTTTACTTTTGGATTTTTTTTATTAAAAAGTGGCCGTGAGTCTAAAATACGTATCAGGCGTAGAAACACTTTTTTGACAAGTCGGCACTAAGTGCAAAAATAGAAATTGTAAGGGTTGTTCAACCTAATTCAAAATGAAAAGGAAAACTTTGGTTAGGATTATAAGATTTTAGCATTCGTACCATAGGAATACATTGTAAACTGTATGCTTCCCACACCCCTGACTCCGCTTCACCGCCACGCTGAAATATTGTATCGAACCTCCTTAACAATACTTTATTCATTATCTTACACGAAAAAGAAGAGGTACAGGCATGATGTACTACTAACATTTTTCTGATAAAGTTGTTCGAACAAAGAAAAAGGTGTTCACACTTTAATAAGTCCTTACATATTAATTCTCAATTATTTTAAAGGAGTTAGTTGAATGGTTAATTGTTGCAAAAAAAACCTCATGATCTAGTTTTTATGACGCTGCCCCCAAAATAAATAGAGCCGAGTAACTAAATTTTCGTTGTTTTCAAAGTTATACACCCATCAATCCGAAATTCCTAGGCAAAAAGCTCAATGTCTTGGCTACAGGCCAAAGACTTGCGACACGAACACTATACCAACTCTTGTATGGTAACGTGAATGTAATATACTTCTCAAGCTCGATAATAGCGAATCAGTGACATCCTTTGTGTGCTAACAAAGAGCAAAAGAGAGAAATAACTTTTTGGGCTGGTAAAACGGGAACTATTAGGGCGGATCGTGTTTTGCGGCTTTGCAGATGCCAAACATCACTTCAATTGAACCAATACAGTTGTATTTGCAAGATCTTGTTTGTACTTGTTCATAAAGCTGACAATCATCTTCCAACTATCGAAGCTATATTAATTAGTAACGCGATGTTTGATTACGTACAATAGTAATACTTGTATTTTATGCTGTTTTTTAATCGAACGTTACGAGATAATTTTCTAAGATCGATATTATGTATTTTGATTACAGTACTACATATGAATTTGCTGCACTCATTCTTTCTATGCAAAAAACAAATACTATCTAATAAATTGTTTAACATTAGACATGTAATGCGAATTGAAACGTTTCTTGATCCAATCATACATCATAATGAATCAAAAAACTTTTTGGAATTTCCTCCTTATCATCACAACTATCTTATTTAACATAAAATTTTTCGACGTAGAGAAATAACATAATAAACACAAAAATGTTTCCATTTAAATTTTTAATGTTTTGATACATAACAGCCTTAAAGAAAAAAAATTTTTTTTGTGTTTCAGATTGGGCAGCCCAATGAACCATGCTTTATTGTGAATAAAAGGAACTACAATCAAGCAACCGATGTAAAAATAATTCCATTAGTATTCAACTGACGATTGTAGACGTATTTAAAAACCATTTGGTCGGTCCAAAGAAACCGTTCATTATAAATACATACGAAGGATGTGCAATGGAAGCATGAACCGCATGCAAAACTTGTCTAGAACATCTAATTTTTTACTGTTAAGATAATTTATTTTTCAATGTAAGCATTTACAGTAAGAATTGGAAAGGGAAGTATTGATTTCAAATTATGAGAAGCCTTGTTATTGAAATCAGATAACCTTGCTAACCAGCGATATAAAAATCGAAGAAAGATCACAACTATAATGAGCAACATGTCGGAAAATCTATACAACTTATCTACAAATGGCACCTTTCCAAATACATCGTTGCCACTTGACTGTGATGCCAATATGCCAATCATCTCACTACTACATCAAATCCTTTACACAATCATTTGTGTGGTTGGTCTACTGGGTAATACTTTGGTCATCTACGTGGTATTACGCTTTTCCAAAATGCAAACAGTTACGAATATCTACATTCTTAACCTGGCCCTGGCTGACGAGTGCTTCTTGATTGGCATACCATTTCTGGTTACAACCATGAGTCTCAAGGTTTGGACATTTGGTAAAATCATGTGTAAAGTTTACATGACAACGACCAGCATTAACCAGTTCACGAGTAGTATATTTCTATTAATTATGAGCGCTGATCGGTACATTGCTGTATGCCATCCGATTTCTTCCCCAAAGCTCCGCACACCATTTATTGCTAAAATAGTGTCGATTTCGGCATGGACACTTAGCGCTATTTTTATGATACCCATTTACATGTACGCAAACGAAATGGAAACTCAAAAGGGCCAAATGAGTTGTAACATTTACTGGCCTGATGATCAGGGAGGACAGAAAACTTTTACTCTGTACAGTTTTGTCCTAGGTTTTGCAGCGCCCTTTACCCTTATTTCAATTTTTTATTTTTTGGTTACCAGAAAATTAAGGACAGTGGGCCCAAAAAACAAGTCAAAGGAGAAGAAAAAGTCTCATCGCAAAGTTACGAAACTAGTGCTCACTGTCATAGCTGTGTTCTTCATTTGTTGGTCACCATATTGGTTTACTCAAATGGCATTGATTTATACGGAACCCAATCAGTGCCAATCTCGCATAAGCATTACCATTTTTTTGTTAGCCGGTTTTCTCAGTTACTCCAATAGTGCAATGAATCCAATACTCTACGCTTTTCTCAGCGACAATTTTAAAAAGAGTTTCCTCAAAGCGTGTACCTGTGCAGCAGGCAAGGACATTAATGCAACTTTACATATGGAAAACAGCGTATTTCCACGCAAGAACAAGGCCAATGTTGAACAGGCTCAAGTCAATAAGCAAGTGGCATCGGGGAACTCAAAGAATGATGGCGAAGATGAAGAAAACGAGAGGGGACTCCTGATCAGCAAGACGTCAACGACAACGGTGACAATGACATCGCGATCTAATATTACTGTTACAAGTGAAGCGAAGGATCACTCGAGTCAGCAAAAGGACAAGGATGTGGTGAAAAATGGCACCCAACTAACTCTGTTGACTCAAGTGTAGGAGTAGACTTCAACATTTAGAGATGTATAATGTACAAAGCTTTGAAAAGTGAAACAATTTATTCAAAAGGGAGCAAAAGTGAAGTGTAAATTTGTACGAGTGACTCGATGAAAAGATAGTTGTAAATTACATTTTTTTAACGATTTGTATATGCTTGGGAAATCTATTTAAGAAAATTAACATTGTTTTAGGAGTATAGAACGATATTGATCGGTGATTGTACACACTTTAAATTTTTAAGGAAGGGCAGAGACTGAGGATTAGGGATTAAAATTCATCAAATACAATATTTTTTATCACATGATCTTTTTCATTGGCATTCTTTTTCATTTTATCTAGAAACACTTTAGTTTCATTCGAAAAATCGCCAAATGAATTTTTTTTATTCTTTCTTTATCTGTCTTTCATCACACATATTTAGCTCATTCAACAGTTTGTATATTTAGATTACTTTTTTTGTGTAAGCAATAGAAATTCATCGTAATATGTGAAAGCTAATTGATTTAACAGGTTTGTCTATTCAGTTTGTATTCTGCAATAAAGCGATAAAAAAAGTCATGTTATTTTGCTCTCGCATTTGTTGATTGAATATACTAAATACTCACTAAGTCTGTAAGTCATGTAACTAATCCAGCAAAGTTGATGTATTGTCGATGATCCATGTGAATAAAAAAATAAAAAAATACTAAAAAGAATTTTTTTTCTCGATTAAAAACACTATCATCTTAAATGATGAGTATATATTTTGTAAAAAAATGTGTTTTTTTGAAACATACGACAGAAACCGTAAAAAAATTAAAACTGAAGCTTATAGAAAAGTAAAAAAAAGTATCTACTATTACAGATGTAAGTGTGTACCTGCAGTTCCAAAAATAATATGATAGAAATATATGTCTTGACAAGTTTAATGATAAATTATTACAAATTTTGTATAAAAATGTTGATGGAAAGCTCGAGGCAAACTTGCTAAACTTACCAGGAAATGAGAATTTCGTGATAATTTTCTTTGGAAAAAAGTAAATTTACCTAATCATACTTCATAGACACATGCATGAATGGTTGTCTATTAGTTAACTTGAAAATTAGAGAGTTTTTGTAAGCCACTGTAAAATATTTATCGGTAGTCAAAAGTACGTTACAGTTATACTTATAGCATATTATTTTTAACTTGCTAATACAATTTCAGCTGTTCACCCGTACATCTATTATCTTAAACTTGAATATAGTAGAATGTCCAAAATAACACTGCAGAGTCATTTATTTGCAAAAATGGGTACCATCAATAAAGTTTCAATTATTAATTAATGTATACATATTTTTTATTTTCCAAATTGAGGATCATTGAGTAAAACTTGGATATTTCCATAATAATTTTGTTTTAATAAAACTGAAATAAAGGTGTAAGTGTGTTGGTCAATGGATGTATCATTTCAAACATTTAACAGGATTCATCAACCTTTCCTTATATCTAAGCTACCTATGCTTCTTTATTAAATTAATTTTTTTCTTATTTACAAGAATACATATAACGAAGATATACTTCACCAACAATACTACTTACTTATTACTAAGTAATATTGATTAATAACTTTAGAAAACGGAAGAATTGACTGGTGATTGATGTTTCAAAATTATCATTTGTTTTATTTATAGTAGCAGTTATTTAATTATCTAATCTGGTATAATTTCCTTAACTATGATTAAATCTTGACATAAATTCTCGAGTATTTCCTTCTTATCATAATCACACGTTGTTTTGTACAGTATCCACATTACACTAAAATGCATCGTAGGAAATGTACATATCGATTAGAGTTGATGCAATCGCGACAAGAAGATGTGTACGATACGTAGTCAGTAAAAAAGCAAAAGACGCAGTTCATGTTACGAATATTAAGCAGCCAACGTGGTTGTGCACAGGCAACGTAATCTTCGTCGTAAGCATGGTTGTAGAGATGCACGAGCACGTATTGAACATTTAGTGGTACGCAAATGCTCGGGAATGTCGAATGGTGAATACATGATATCTTTATCAAATCGGTATAAAAATATACAAATTAAGTACTTTAGCATAAGGTGAATGTCCCAGTACTCGCTCACTTAAGCAGACGAAATGCCCCAATAGTCAATCACTTTTTTTCTTTTATGGGCCTTCGTTATATTTTTTTTAATTGGGTTTATACATTAACTTGTATTGAAAGAGTAATTGCTTAGTGTCTGAATAGCTACCCGATTTATATATGTTTTGAAAATTTATAGTGAAAAAATCAGCCAGATGACAGACTATTGGGACATGACCGAGTACTGGGACATCGACCTTATTTATTGACGGACTATGAGCAGTGGATCCATGCTCTGGTGTGGATGGTGGGTTTTTAGGTAAGCATAGCTATAGCAGAAACGAAATTGTGAATATCATAACAACAAAAGCGTATAGCTTTACGTACGTCATTACGAATAACTTTGCTGCGATTTAAGTGTTATTTGTTATGAAAAGAATATTTGTTGATATGTAAAAATACTAAATGTTATTTAAAAAACTGTGTTATCTGTAATAAAGTTTATATAAATATTTATTGTATTTGGTGATATAAGAATTTACGAACGAACGACTGTGAAAATAATTGCGTGTATTTTTTTAATCAAACATCATCAAGTAGATATGCTTATAATTTCGTCAATATTTCCACGATTAACCTGATAACAGTCGAAAACTAAGATCATACTTATTTGTTTCGTTAAATGTAATATAAAATTGTATTACAGCGCTTGTTAAAAAATTTATTAAACGCAAGTGTCACTAGTCCCTAATATCTACGATTTACATTTTTTTTTTTTTTTTTTAAGAAGTGTAGCTATCAGAAATAAACATGAATTGTGAAAAGAGACATTATTTAGTAACAAAAGCGTTCAGATAAAGGAGTATAAATTGTGCATATGAACTATTTATGCAATTGTATATAAGTGCAGTGCATAACGCTACGAGAGAGATAAGAATCATCTTTATTTCTAGGTGTATTTTGGATCATAAACCAATGTTAAAGAAAACACACAGAGAATAAGGGTCTATTATTTTTTTTATTTTACACTGGAAATACTTAATAACATTTTATTTCTTGACTTCAGTCTGTATTATATAGATACAACATCACCTCTGAAGTAACTACCGTATTTGACGCTTATTAGGAAAGTATTTTAGTAATTATTGTATACGTGGAAAATTTATTCAAAGCTGTATAATTAAATATAGCTAACACTTGAAAATAGTTTTAGTGGGTTGTAATTGCAATTTGTATCAGATAGAGAGTACGAAATTTTAGCAACTGAAGACAGGACAAAAACCGACGAAAACGTAGTACTTTTATTGAAGACATAAGTGAGGAATTCTTCTTTTTTTTCTAACTTTTCTGGGCACCAAAAAGTTGAAAATTAAAATTTCAAGCCACATCTCGTAAATAATTTTTTTTTTTCATTATTGGCAACTTATATAATAAAAAAATTCCAAGGACACGCAGTTCAGGTGTTTGCAAATTTTTTTAGCGTTAAAAGTAAAATAATATCGATTTTATTCAGACGTACGTTATTTTATTTATACGTATAACAATATAATTATTAAATATTAATTATAATAATAAATAATTTTACAAAAATAAAATTTGAAAATTTTATTTCTTAACACTTTTTNTGTCAAACCAATTACTCGAAATTTCTTTCTAAGACTCTGTTCCCACACTTTACTATTGGTATATACTATTAAGTATTCAAGAAATGCAAAAAAACTAAAAATGGAAAGAGAAAATTGGTTTTTTTTAATTTTATTTTGCAAAAATTTGTTAAAAGAACGGGATATTAACAAAATGTAAGCTCTAATATTAAAAAGAGCGACCTCGAAAATTATGGAAAAGATATTTTGCCTATTTTTTTTACGGACATTTTCACACTAATTAGTCCACAATAACTCCAGTTTTAGCAAAAATCAATATCATTTTACTTCATTCTACTTTTAACGCTTAAAAATGTGCAAAGACCTGAATCACGTGTTCTTGGAAGTCTTTTTATTATATAACTTACCAACAAGGAAAAAAAATTATTGGAAGGTGTGGCTTGAAATTCTAATTAAGCACCATTTGGTGTCCTGAAAAGTGCAAAATTAAAGGAGAATTTCTCAAAATATGAATAATTCAGCTGTAAGAATTAAGAAATAGAGAAATAACTGTATAAAATATTTTATGTACCATATTAGAAATAAGTAACTTACTTCGAAATAGATTTAAAAAATGGTAAAATATTTATGGTACTGCTCTGAATGAATAGTAATATTTATTGAAAAATTATTTCTTCGTTACATTTAAAAATATTACTTGAGAATCTGAAAAAAGCAGTACGGTTATGTAATTGTAGTTAAAAATTTTACTTCGAGAAAAGTATCTATACATGTTCAAAAATTTTTGTACTAATAATAGAGTTATTTTATCCTTATTATGTAGATTTACACAAAAAATATTTTTTAAATAAACAATTATTATTTATTATTACTACGAAAAATGACTTAATTTCTTACACCTAGATAATATTGACTTTTTTATTTTCTTATTTATTTTTCATCACTTCCTGACAAAAAAAGTGTCGCAATAATTTAAATATACAATATTTCACTGCGTAGAAAATTCACGTAAGGCACTAGTTACTGGCCGCGACCAGTACCTGGCCACTTTAAAAAATAATTTTAAAAAAGTGGTGACCTAGTACTAGAGCACTTGTACATAAAATGTGTACGTAACCTCACTTCTGCGAGCACTAGTAGCCGACCACCTCGATTTATGTACATTTAGCATGGGGTGGCCAGTTACTGGCTCTTAAATTTGGGCCACTAAAGCAACCTTTTTTTCAGTGGCCATGTACTAAAGCATCTGACATACTCAGATTATTATAAATTATTATTGTCCACGGTTGGATGTACGACTTCTATTTACCGTATAGTTTAAAATACATTCATAGCTTTCAAATGATACCTAACACAAGTTAAAGTTTTAAAAGCTGTTTAAAATATATGATGTTCTTTTGATAACAGCTACTAAGTGGCCAGTAACTAGTACTTTTACCTTATACATTTCTCGGCACTATGTACATGCATGGGAGCACACCTTGGCAACAGTTGTCTCAAGTTGATAAAGGAATTTTATGTCATATGTGACTTAAAATGCAACCATTTTACCTCTATTTTTAAGTTTATTTTAGTATTTTTTAGAAGCTAGGACTTAATATTACAAGTGTAACCTCAGTTTTTCAAATTAATTTTTCGGATGATAAAACAACACATGATGAGTAGGTATCTATTTAAGTTTGCTTATTGTTGTAGCCAAATATAGTTGCGTTACTTTTGAATAATAAAAATAACTTATCAAACAAATAGAATTAAAATGTTTTTAAAGGGAATCAATTGTAAATACAATGTTTTATAAAAGCATTTCCATATGAAAAGATATTTGTTTTCTTCATAGTTCATTTAAAAAACGTTTAAAGCTCTTTTCTTAGGATTGATTTATACTCTATGTTGATTATCTATTAAAAATAAGTTAAATTTTCGATTGCAGCTACTGCTTTATTTGTTTCTAACACAATAAATCAGGTATTTTGTGGTTCTTGTAGCCCAGAAGTTTGGTTACTCATACTCACGATTTCGAGACGTGGCCTGTACTTACTTGATTCGGACCTCTGGGAAACTTGTATGCAGTGTTCTCACCCGTTGTAAAACAAGAAGTT